GATGCGTGTTGGTTAGTGTGCATCAATTAAAGCAGCACGTTAATATAGTACAGTGATTAAACTGACTTGGAACTACCTGTGCATTAAACGGTTTTACTGCATACCTGCCAGCCAATCAGAATTCAGTATTCAGACAGACCATGGAATAAAACCGTTTAATGCACAGGGAGTTCCAAGTCAGTTTAATCCACATTCTATATTAATGTCCTGCTTTCATTGACTCACATACACACAGAGAGATCGCAGATTGCGCTGTGCACACACAGAAACATTCAAGAGGACCGAGACTTGTCATCATTGTTTTTGAAGTCACTAAACTTACAGCTTTATTGTTTGTGGAGAGAGACCCAGACACAGGTAATTTACACACGCAACTTTCATCTCTCTCTCTCTCTCTCTCTCTCTCTCTATAGTTAATTAAAATAAATGGTGTAATTCATTCAAATAAATGTAGTCTTACCACACTACTTCATCTCTGTGTCTGATTTAAAGTTGGCAGAATGCTAGATCTAACGAGCCGTAACTGACGAGTTCCGAGTGGTTCTTTGCCTCCACGTTGTGCATTAAAATCATTATCCCTTATACATATTTCACATTATAATCATCAATGATTTTGAAAAAGGAAGGTAATTGTTTGAAATAATCAAATGTGTACACAAAATAATAGTTGTGTACCCATTCCTAAATGCAATTATTTGACCACACAAAATAATTATTGCTCATTTACAGCATTTAGGTTTGTGATGCATTACATTGAACAGCCTATGTGTGATCCTTTGAATATTAGTAAAGTCATTTTAGCATGTGAAGGGAACAGTTAGAATAGCAACAACTTTCCCTGATCTCAGAGCCTGTCCAGATCTCTTAAACATACAGCTGAAACATTTATGATGACAGCCTGCTGTGTTACCCTTAATGCACGACACTTAATGCAGGCAGAACATGTATGTCATACAGTATATTTTTATTGAAAAGTAACACCAAAATATCATACATCAATATTATTTATGTTATTTCTTTAGAATTGTGGGGTTTTGTGATTTTTTTTCACCCACTTACAGTAACTTTTTTTTGCCTCTATTGTGCTTCCCTTACAACAATTTACCACAGTTCATATTGCAAATTTTAGTCTTACTGTGGTACGTGCAAATTTTCATTTTTCATTTTGTTGTTATCTTTGAAAACAAGTCTGTGTGTTTAGTGAGTGTCTGAAGCTCTCTGCCCTTAACTAAAAGATCTGCAATGTAAACCTGCCAAAATGTATTTTCTGTATTAAAAATACTCACAGCTACTGTGTTTATGCATACCATTTAGCTAAAGAGATGTTTGTTAACATGCGGCTCACTGTGATCTGACATTATTCAAAGTTACGCCAAGATCCTGTTTAAAAGAGCAAAACCTTCACAGGCATATTAAGCAGTTAAACCTCATTTAGCAATACATTGTTTATTGTTTACTGCTTGCTAAATTGGCTTGAATCAATTATGATTTGCGGTGCAGAACTGTAATTGCAATTGAATTAGCCTGTGTTTTTAGGAAAGTCTAATGAAAAAAAAAATCAAAAGCAAGATTTTCTTTTTCTTTTTTTTAATTATTTCTTGGCAGCTAAAGCACTGGTCCAGTGATTGTTTTAATACCCAAAGGGTAAGAAAACAAATTAGTTTCAAAGTACTGTTATTTGAGAAGGTTGTGAAAAGCAAAGTAATCCTTTAATTAAATAAGGTAAATTAGAACCAAATTCAAAATTATCCCCATGTCCTGGAGGCCTGTGTAAGGTTTTGGAGGATTGTTGTTTGTTGCTAGGTAGCAGAAGCTGCTGATGACAATAACAAACGTTGCAGATTTAGTAGTGATATTTGCTAATGCCAGAGTCACTATTAATACTGCTCATACCAGCAGAGTTTTTAATTCGGACAAACCATTAATGCTAAATGTATGAAAGCTTTTCACATCGTGGTACTGTGACATTATACCCCACAATATAAATATAAAAATCTATTTTATAAAGTATTGTTTTCAGTGCGAAGTCCTGCCATTCAATCTAATATCATGTGCTGGAAATCCTTTACTTACATTTACTTACTTAAAATGTACTTACCGTCAGACCATCCAAGATGAAGATGAGTTTGACATTTGGAGAAATTATCATTGCATCACTTGCTCACCAATGGATCCTCTGCAGTGAATGGGTGCCGTCAGTCTTTTATCCATTATATTGCTTTCTTCAGTAAAAAAGTTATGCACAGATCAAGAGACATATGCACAGATCAAGCACTGTTTACAAGTGAAAACAGTTCTAAACAAATCTGTTTGGTGGATTTTGATGTGAGAAGGCAACAGGGCATGGACTTTTTCATTGGAGGAAGCATTATTATGGATTATGGACTGATATTTTGTCAGTGTTGTGCGCTTTGCTTGGCCATTTGTTGGGATAAACAGGAAAGTGTGTTCAAGCGCCAGCAAAACAGTGTAAAGAAATAGTCTTTGTGAGAAACTGCTAAATGACTAAAAGTAAAGTAAGTAAAGTATTTTGTCCAGAAGCGACACTTTAAATTTAAAATGCCTTAATGATGGATTTGTCTCTTACAAACACACACCTTTTTGCTTCATAAGATGTTAATTGTTGGACTTGAATCATTTAGACTATTGTGACGTGTTTATCAGCTGTTTGAACTCTTATTCTGACGGCACCCATTCACTGCAGAGGATCCATTGGTGAGCAAGTTATGTAATGATACATTTCTCCAAATCTGTTCTGATGAAGAAACTGATCTTTATATTGGATGACCTGAGGGAAAGTAAAAAGCAAATTGTAATTTTGGGTGAATTATATATTGTGTGTTAAATCCTCAGTAGAATCTCAATCTCTCTCTCTCTCTGTATGTACAGTGGGTACGGAAAGTATTCAGACCCCCTTAAATTTTTCACTCTTTGTTATATTGCAGCCATTTGCTAAAATCATTTAAGTTAATTTTTTTTCCTCATTAATGTACACACAGCACCCCATATTGACAGAAAAACACAGAATTGTTGACATTTTTGCAGATTTATTAAAAAAAGAAAAACTGAAATATCACACGGTCCTAAGTATTCAGACCCTTTGCTCAATATTTAGTAGAAGCACCCTTTTGATCTAATACAACCATGAGTCTTTTTGGGAAAGATGCAACAAGTTTTTCACAACTGGATCGACTCGGGACAATTGAATGTGCACACATGCGTGAGAGAGAGAGAGAGACAGAGAGGGGTTTTTAGAGGTTTTGGGAAACCTCTCATTTGAAGAATCGTCATACCTGTGCTAGGAGGAAGACTTTGTATCACGGAAAAATGTAAGAGGAATTTTATTTATTTATTTATTGTTTTATTTATTTATTATTTTAAAGATATATATGTTGTATATATAATTATTTGACATATCTGATTTTCCACAGAAGTGCCAGGGTCTATTTATCTAAGCATACATTGGAATGCAACCGGACACGGACCCCAGATGAGGCAAACCCCACGGATGTGGGAACGGACCATTAAAATCTTCAAAAACATTCCTAAGGTCTTCATTATTGATTCATCACCGCTCGGACACGGACATACATATGAACAAACATAATTTTTCATCCCCGGAGGTCAAAGGTTGACGTCGGAATTTCACATATGCCGGTTTTCACATCTGGATAGGTCACCGGGGTCAACACAACGTGGGTGGTCGCCACGTGGGCGGTCACTACATGGGGGAGGGGCCACGTGGGGGAGGGGAAAGGTCACAAAGGTCAAAGCCATGAATCATTTTTGACATATGCCGTCGGGTATCACTACTACTAAAATTCATATCACAATTATTTTCACCTGTTGTGGCCCTTGAAGTCCTTTCTGAAATTTGATATAATAATGATATCTAACACTTGCAGTGATCCTGACGGGTATGTGACAGCTGTCAGTGTGTGCTTGGTCAGCTCTTCAGATGGATTTCTGTGACTATCATTCCAGTATGTGTGTGTGTGTCCCATCACTACAGCTATATCACATTCACTTCTTCTGCATGAAATAGACCTGTCCTCTGTGCCTGCTAATGATACGTAGTGAAATAGTGATTGGATGTCAACATGATTGATGTGGGTGTGGAGAGGGAGGGACCAGTGCTCTCTTGGGCCATTATCTCTTCAAATTATATCAAGGATGTCTGATGAATCGACTAATAGACTTGATGATGAAGTTTTGATAAAGCCTTGACTAAAGTCCAAACTACATAATTGAACCGCCTAAAGAAAATCACTCATGGGATTCACCTGAGAAATGTAACTGTAAAATGCAATTGTTTAGTTTAAAATTTCGTAATTTCTTTGTATCTCTGGCAGTCCATCCGTGAGGTGACGGGTTACGTGTTGGTGGCTCTGAATCAGTTCGACTATCTTCCTCTGGAGAACCTGCGGATCATCCGTGGCACTAAACTGTATGAAGGACGCTACGCTCTGGCCATCTTTCTCAACTACAGACGAGATGGCTACTTTGGCCTTAGACAACTCGGCCTCAAGAACCTGACAGGTATATTCTGCTAAATTTGACTAATTCTGATATTGTAACTGTAGTTTCTGTTTTTGCTGTTTGTATTTGTCAAAATCTGTCAGAGAAGGTACATCTATTTCTTCAAAAGTTCTGTAAGATTCTACCCTGACAGCATTTCCCCAAAACAACGGTTTGAAATGTGCATTTAAGATGGTTTAGCATTTAAAAATGGTGTTTCTTTTTTTCCCATTTGTTCAAATAAAGCAAGAGTGCTGCAGAATGGAAAAAGAAAGCAGGGGTTTTTAAAAGTTGAACTTATTTTCACTTAAAGTTCCATCTTAAAATGCTTTATAGATGCTTTTTAGATCATGTGCTTTTTATTTAACAGTCAACACTACCGTATAAAAGCCTGAGATCAAGATTATTTTTTTTCTGAAAAATTAATACATTTAGTCAGCAAGGATGCATTAAATCCAAATGAAGTATTGAAATACATTTTAAAATATATTAAAATAGAAAATATTATTTTAAATATTAGTAATATTTCAGTTAATATTACTGTTTTTTTTCTGTATTTTTGATATTTGCAGCCTTGGTGAGCATGAAATACTTATTTCACCAAAATAATCTCACTGACCCAAACTTTTAAACTGTAATGTATATGCAATTAGTGGATAGAAGATAATGAAGAGCTGTTGATAATTAATTTTCCATATTGTAGTTTGGCTAGTGTTAGTGCAGCAAGTTTATCTAAATACCTAAGTAGTATACTTAAGTCTATGTTTGTAATGTTTAAATGTCTGACTGATGTCTGTGTAAGTTGTGGTCTTAGACTAAATTAGCATAGCAGGCACTGGTGTATTTGAACACATGTCTGATAAGATTGCCTTTAATAATGTCTTTCATGCTGTGCAGTGTGGCGGCTATGATAATCATGTACATCAGAAGACGTATCTCATATAAATTATCCACTCTTCATTATATGACTGCGTTGTATCTTATCAGCATATTGTGTTTCACTTTAGCATGTTTTACAGATGACATCAAGGTTTTTTTTTTCTTCTTCAGACTTGCTTGGTTGCCTCATAGGGAGACTTTCGTTTACATCTTATACCATGCAATATAGAAACTCATCTTAGAACAATATTTCCAGATCCCTGTTGGGATGCATAAAGAGATAGATATAATAAGAAACAGATCAAGGATTCAAACAACCAACAGACAAATAAAAGAAGTTGGTGGCACCTCAGAGCAAAACAGCCAGAGGCATGATAATGGTTGTCTGACTTATGATGACTCATGGACGGCCAATGGAAGTCAAGAGGAGTCCGGCAGGTGGTACGGGGTCACAGTAGAAAGTTAAGAAAACATTCCCTGAGAACAGGGAACGAGACGCTGAGGGCGCTAGGGGAACGCCTTCAGCGTGACCGGTGTGTGAAGCATGAATGAAAAAACGACAATGAACTTGACATTGGCAGGCGCCAGCCTATGATGTAAACAATAAAGCGAATGCAGGTATAAAAGAGCACCTGCGGAAAATGTCATCCACTTCTTTGTCTGAAGGAGACGCAGGCAGGAATGCCCGAAGCATGGCAATGGGACGCAGTGTCTCGTTCCCTATTCTCAGGGAACCATGGTTACATACGTAACCTGAGACATTCCCTTTCGAAAGGGAACTCCATGCTACATCCTCTAGAGGGCGCTAGGGGAACGGTCTACCCACGCCGCCATGCTGAGGGATATCTTAACCGAGAGGAAGCCTAACGACACTCGATTCTGGTAGGTGAACTCTTAAGAGTGGAGGTCTCAGCATAACGACTCTCTAAAGCGAGAGGAGACCTAGC